TTGACATGTAACTAATGCTCAACCAAGGGATGTAGTGCTATGTGGTATATCATTGCTTCTGAGTTTCAGACGGAACACATGGGCCCTGCTGCACAGAGCTCTTCATCACCCACTTCACCTGAGATTCTAGAACAACTCTTCCATCCCTTCCTGGACATACAGCAGTTGCTCCTCACCTCACCAGAAGCTTCCATACCTCCCTGCCTTTGAGCATCTGAATCCCTGAAACAAAAAAGCATTTTCCACCCATCCCCTTCCTGTCATATGTCATAAGAGTTGTCATTCAAGGCCCTTCTCTTGGAAGGTTTCCAGATTGCCTCTGCCAAAATCCATCACCCCCTCCCTGGCACTCCCATGGCACTTTGCTCCTACATCCATCAGCAAGCAATGCGAATTGTTGGTTAATAATATTATCACTGCAATCAGAGCTGCCACTAATTACCACCAAGAGAATTTCTCAATTAAAATCCTCTGAACAACCCCAGGCAGCAGGTATTACTGTTTTCCCCACTTTACAGACAAGGAAACTGAGTCACAGAGATGTGAAGTCACTTGCACAAGGCCACCTAGCCAGGATGTGACAGAGGCAGGCTTTGCACTCAGGTCTGTGTGGCTGCAAAGGCCTTGCTCTTCTGATGAGTGCCGGAAAAGGCAGCCAAGAGGTGGAACCTGCATCCCCATCTCCTGGGGGTTGTGAGTTATAGGCCCTGGAGGGAGAAGCAGCACAGTATGTGTGCATGTACACACACACACACACACACACACACACACACACACACACACACAGCTTTCTGGCTTGCCTCAGTAGGCCACTCCTGAATTTCCAAACATTTCCTCTTCACTGAGTCATCTTCCTGGGAGGAGGGGGAGAGAAATCAATACTCGTTGCCTATCAACTAGGTTATCAAATCAAGTAGCATCGGCCCCTCAGGCCACAGTTGATCATTCCAAAACCCCAAGCCCCATTTCATAATAGTTAAAAGAACATTTCCTTTTAATTACCCCTAAATATTTCTGAAGAGGTGGAAAGAAATAAAGTGCTCAGGGAGAAGATCAGATGATGCATCTTTACACAGAAGGGGTACAGCACAGCGTGGCAGAGGGCTCTGAGCCCTGTGGGGATCTCAGTGTGGCTCCCAGGTCTATTTGGGGGGCAGTAATAAGTCTTACTAACCAGGTGGACCGGCCAATAGCAGCTACTTAGAGAAGAGTAGATCTCAAGACACAGTGAAAACCTGGCCGGAGAAACATGGCATTTTGGGCAAAGCCACCAAAGCTGAGGTCCTATTTATCTGTATGAGTCACACGGCATCATACGCCCCCATTCTTTCCTTCTAAAGGAGCCTCAACATTCTCTGAGGGCCATAGTGGGCTACAAGCCCAGGTGGTCCCAAAAAAGGACAGCCAAGGTGAAGAGCAAGGGCTGAAGTAGGAGTCAAGGAAAGTGGGGTAGAGGCCACTCTGATATTTAGTGCTCTGTGATCTTGGGAGTGTCTCTGACATTCACTGGGTTGCTATTTCCTCCTCTATTAAGTAGGAATGGAGTAGATAACCCACCTCTCTACCTGAGACTCTGAAACAGCATGGCAACAATAATAGCAGTGAACCACCAATGACAATTCGCTGTGTGCCAAGCCCTTTTTTAAATGCATTGCATGAATTATCTCATTTTATAGACAAGGAACCAATGACAGAGAGATGAAGCCATTTACCCACATCCCTATCCTGGCACTGAGCACAGAAATAGTCAGTGAATGAATGAAGAATGAATGAAGTTCCCTTCACAGTCAGTACACACCTGAGGTCATATTCACTGCCTCAAACCCATTTCCTGGTCTTTGAGTTGTGTGATAGTGTCATAATTTTCTGCCAGCTCCTCTACCTCTGACCACCACAATCATAGTTATTAAGTGATTAACTTCAGGAGATGTTTCAGGCACTGCAAAGTGTGCAGTGCTAGAGATCAGGCTCCTTCTGTGGGACGTTTCCAGGTTGTGCCTGAATCCAATCAGGCAAACTCGGGAGCACAATCCATCAAGCAAGCATTTGTTGGTCAACTACTACACACCAGACCTTTTGCTCAAAGTGTCCAAATGAACGTGCTCACAGGACTGGGCACAGGAGTGAAAACCCACGGAAGGTTTTTTCCATGAAATAGAAGAGGCTCTGCCCCTATAGAAGCTGATAAGACCCTCACAATAAGAGTAGTGTCCCCACTAGCTGGAAAACTTGCAAACTTACCTGCTGCCAATAATGAGTGTTTTTCTCCTAAAATGATGCCTCTAAGCATCAGGGGATCAAATTTGAATCTTGTCAATATCTATAAAACTAGCAAGGAATGTTCCCTTGCAAAAAGATAAAATAATAGTAATAACAACAACAACGTTTTTAAAAAAATCACTTACCATGCCAGATGCCAGGCTAAATGTTTTAGCTACACTGTCCCATTGAATCCTTGCTACAACTCTAGGAAGTGGAGCATTGGAGGCTCAGAGAGGTTAAGTAACTGGCCCCAAATCACCAGCAACTGGAGGAATCAGAACTTCTATCCTGGAAGATTCAAAACTTCTCCAATCTCCAGCTTTCTCCTTCATAAAATAGAAATAAGTAGGACCTATTTCAAGGTGTTTCTATGAAGACAAGATGAGATAATATGCATGCAAAGTATTTTTGCATGCAGCCTTGTCCATGGGGAAGGTTTTGCTCAGCTAGACTGAGTATTTCATCATCAACGTGTCCCTAACAAGGTTTAAGGTGGGTGGGCTCAGGGTACCATGTATGTCAGGCTCAGGGGAAATACCCTTCTCTGTACGCAACTCTCCCCTCTGCTGTCTGTCGCCAATGCTCAGATGTCAGTCACCTACTGACAAGTGCACGAAACAGTTTTGGGTGCCCACAGCCACCACAAGCCCAAGCTGCCTGGATCCACCCTGGCAGGGAGAACTGCCAGGTGGCTCTCTCGCAGGCTGGCTCCTGCCTCTGGCTGCTGCCCAGAGTGACTTAACCTGAGTTATAGCTGCCTTGCCAAATTGTTGGAGAAGAGACGACCACAGCATTTGGCCCAGCCACCCATACAGAATACCCAACATAGAGTAGGCAAGGCTGCAGAAAGAGTGGATTACAAATTGTATTTTTTAAAAAATATTGTGTGCTGATAGGATATTTTAATCTGGGTTCAGGCAGAATATCCAACATAGAGTAGGCAAGGCTGCAGAAAGAGTGAATTACAAATTGTATTTTTTAAAAAATGATATTGTGTGCTGATAGGATATTTTAATCTGGGTTCAGACATTGCAGAAATAACAATAATAGCTCACATTCTATAGCACTTCCTCTATGTAACCTTTTATGTAAAGTATGGAATTTAACCCTTACAACATCCCATGCAGTAGGTACTATTATTAGCCCAATTTTACAGATTAAAAAAAAATTGAAACACAGATGAAATGATTTCCCAAGATTACACACAGGTAGGACAAACCAGGCTGTCTACTTCATGCAAATCTGTCATGTTCAAGAAAGGCCCTGAGGTGACAAGTGAGAGACAGACCTGAAGCTGGCACTGTCACACTCCCATTTTATAGATGAGAAGACTGAGGCTCAGAGAAGCTGAGATTTGTCTTCAGCACTGGTTCCTGATCATAGTGAATTTTGCACAGCACCCAATTTCTACTCTGTAAACTCTGACTCCCCAACCCCAGCCACGCCAGCCACCCCAGCTTGCAGAAGGTGATTTAAAAAAGACATCTCCCAGTAATAGGGAGGTGAGCCAGATGGAGATGAGAATTAGAAAGAGGTGCCTCTAGTCTGGTAGAGAAGCCCAGCAGCCACCAGGTTCCCTGCAGGGCGTGGGTTTCCTGCCCTAGGAAGCAACTGCGGCAGGTCACACTGTATGGGTGGTGGGGTTCAGGGCTACCGTGGCATGGCAATCTGGGGGAGCCCTGACAATATCCAGTGCTATGGCCAAAGCCTTCCCACCCAGTTGGGGAGGAACCAAGTCTGGACGCTGGTCTTCCCTGGGCCAGATTAGCAACTGTCAAGCAGGGCTTCCATCACCATGTGCCTTGAAAAAGCATATTCTGTATATTATAAAATAATTTTATATTTGGAAAGCAGCACCTCTTCCACATACAAAACACCCATTGCTTATATGGCCCAAGTTACAGAGGTAAAGCTCAACAGAATCTTCTCAGCTGGAGCAGGATGGGTTAATAATGGTGCAACCCTTAGAGGCGTCTGAAGGTTTCCAAAGCTCTCTGACTGGAGCTGGGGCTAGTGGGCGCCTGGATGGATGCCTTTTGACAGTGCCAGCTACGTTGTGTTTTTGAACCCAGAGCCACCCAAGGACAACTCTGCTGGGGGTTCCAAATGCAAGAGGACGAGAGAATAGGACATACACTCTCACATGCAACATGCTCACACAGCACGCTCATATTCAACAGTGCTCTCATACGTTCTCTCACATAGATGCACACAACTATCACCTGCAGTATATGCTTACACACAACATGCTCTCACATGCAACACACAACATGACACACTCCCCCATATGGGCTCACATGTTCCAATGCACATACTCACACACTTGCATATGTACACATTCTCACATGCATGCACATGCAGCTGGTACAGACCCACAAAGACTCACAGTCAGACACCCATGTACCTCCCCAACATGCTCATATACATCCATGCAGGTGGAAAAAGGCCCCAGAAAAACAAACCTGGATCCACAGAGCTGGCCACACCTATGGCCACCTCCCAAAGACACATGGACAGACACAGAAACACACAATTCAAGAACCCACATACAAAGATCCACACCCAGTCTCTAAAGTAGACAACCCCCAAAGCCACAAAGCACACAAAGACACACAAAGAGCCACACACACTGGGCTAGACGCACACACAGACACAGGGGCACACGCAGACACAAAGTCATAACCTCCTGCTCTCACACCCCCAAGTCCTCCCAAAAGACAGCAGGTCCTGGCACTCACCCTGGGGAGGACTGTCAAGACACAGGCAGCGCCGTCCTTCCAGCCCTGGCCCAGCAGCCTGAGCCCACTCTGGGGCCCGTCAGCAGCACCGCCAGCAAATAAAAAGCGAATGTGCAAAAATAAAACTGAAAGGCTGTGATAAAGCAGTACCCTCTTCCCACAGGACTGTGCGCTGACGCAGGTTCTGCTCTCTGCAATAAACATTTTCATTCTAATTTTAAAAGACATTAGCATTACCTCTTTGGCTCTCAATCCAGCCAGACGGTACCTTGCCTTCTAGGCCGCCCACCGGCCACACTAGGCAGCAAGGGGTGGAAGGGCCCCAGGCCTCACACCTTAAGACCACAGGTCACCTAACACTATACACACTGATCTAGGGACCTGTTGGCCAAGACTTGGTGAGTCTAATTTTACATCATCCTTGCAGGTCCACATAAAGCAAAGAGATACTCCCAAACTTCTCCCAGTGAATTCTGTCTCACCCTAGCCAGGATCCCTGAGACCCAATCCTATCCTCCAGGATGAGCACCATACACAAGGAAGGCAGTTTTCAAATGGATGGTCTGCCCCCTGACAAATGGGGAGCTCTGTGTGAACTGGGGCACCATTCTCTTAACCCCACCCCACAAATCACCCTGTCTGCAAATTTGAGTCTTACCTCACCAGTCTAGGAAATCAAAGCGAGCTATTTTATGAGCTCAGATGCCTAGACCCCAAAACATAAGCCCTTCAGCCTCAGCTCTCACTGCACCCTGCTCACCCTTGAGGTCCCAGGCACTCTGATCAGGTGATTTCCACAAAACCCACCTCCAAGCCCTTGCCCAAGCTGTTCCCTCCTCCTAAAACACACTTTCCTGTCTCTTTGCCAGAGCTGTGCCTGGTCATCCTTCAGGTCTCAGCTTCTAAGTAACTTCATCTTATATTATTTGGGGGTTTGGGGATTCCCCCCTTGAGTGGAGCAGCCCCTTTCCTGCCTTCACTGAGCCATAATGTAGGTGACCTCCTTCTGGAAGCTTCCAGACTGTGGAGTGCTTCTGCTTAGCTCCCACAGCTTCCTGGGCACCCCATTTAGGGGACAGCTCTTCCTAGGCTGGTTCTACCTGCCTGATCCTGGTGGGCCTCCAGTGGCTATCAGGAGGGGTTCCCCTAGGGCAGGGAACAGTCTACCATGTTCCCCCAGGTCTAAGCCCAATATATAGCTACTGAGTAAATAAATGAACTAACAGCTTGCACTGGTCTTCGTCTTCTGGATTTTCAGAGAAACCAGTAAGTCCTTGTTAGAGTGAGCATGTGATACAGGCTCCTGGCTCTTGTCTGCTTTGCCCTGGAGCTGAGGGTGCAGCCCCTCCGGCCATTCCAATTGTTTACACGTCACTATAACCAATTGAAGCTCCTCAGGCCACAAGCATAAAAATGATGGATGAAAAATAAATGTCAGCAGATGGCTCACAGCAGTCTCAGCAGCCTTCCTCTGGGACCTCTTGAATCTCCTTTTGGAGCATCCCTACCCTGCCCTCGCCTGGGCAGCCCCAGTGCCACCACAGGCCTAGGCGCCCTTGACAGCAGGCCTGGATGACTGCTGTACCTCATCCCCATCTCCCAACTCTGATCTTACCTTCACAATCCCTCCTCTCCATGGCTGCCTGAGGGCTCCTTACAAAAGAAGTAGATACTGTCACTGCCTCTGCAGGCTCAAACTCCAACATGCCTTCCTGTAGCTCTTAGAATTAAACCCCCAAATCCTTACCCCGAGCCTCCAGGAAAAGTCCAAACTCTACACAGTGGACTGGGAGGCCTTGCCTAATTTAACATCCACCACCTGCTCCAACCTTACCTCAATCCCCAATTAAATGATTCATTAGTCCCCAAAGCCCCTGGTTCTCATCCTCTGTGCTGCACCCAAACTGTTCCCTGTGTCTGATGCTGTTCCTTGGTGTTAAGATGACCACCCTTAATTCCCTGCCTGGCAAACTCATCCTTCCAGACCTGCTGCAAACAGTCCCTCTGTGGCCCTTCCTAGCTCCTGGCTCTGAGCACCTGCAGTGTCCCCAGTGTAGGAGAAAATCTCCATCTTGTGCTGTCCTGGGTGGTCTTCCCTCCCCAGGACTCCCTGGAGAGCAGGAGTTCCATCTTATTTATCCAGGGGCTCTCCAGATCTGGTCCAGAGCAGACACACTGATATGCATTAGTGATCACTGCTAGGATGAATATAATTTTTAAATTCCTTCTAAGCCCGGTACCTTGCTCTGAGTTCTCATATTAGTTTGTTTCTAATAAATCAAGACAAAAGGAAAGATCCAGATGCTTCTACTTTCTCCCCAACTCCCCATGCTCCAGTCTGCAGGTAGAGGATTTGGGGATCAGTGTGTGGGCAGTGGGGGTAAAGGCTTCTCCAGAAATAACACAGGAAGGAGAGGGGAGATGATGAGGATCATCACCCCAAGACAGGCACCTGAGTATCTGATACCCTCAGGCTCAGCTCAGAACAATATGGGTCTTCATTCCAAGGCCACCCAGTGGGCCTCAGGGGGAGCCCACTGATCCGAGGCCCTCACATCACCTTCCTGGAGCTCCTGTCAGCCGTCAGGACAGGGTTAACAAGAGGCAGGCCGCTTTGAAAGACAGATGAACCCTGAGAAAGGACTGGAAAGACCTTCAGGGTAGGGTTGCTGGGCTCTGCCAGATGGGGTGGCAGGGCCCTACTGTTAGGACTTTCTCTTGATGAAAGAGACCCACGCTCCGAGGCCAAGAGCTTTGCTGCCCAACTTCCCCTGGCTGGGTCTCCTGGACAATTCCAGCTCCACTCACAAACCTGTTCAGTGGCTAAGCTAGCCATGCTTTCCAGAGGGAAAGAGGAGACTGGAGACCCAGCTGGGCTGGGAGGTGGGGACTTAAGCATCAGGGAAGAGGAACAGGCAAAACAAATGCCAAATAGCTTCAAACAAGTGGCTTCACCTCTCTGAGCGTCAGTTTCCTCATCTCGAAAATGGGTGTAAGTAATAAAGTCTCCTGAGATCTCACACAGGGCACACCCAGCTTGGGGAGTGGCCTCCCACTCTGCTCCACACATCGGGGACATTATGATGATGATTTGGGCAAACTCAACTGGCTTCTGACGAGGAGGAAGAAAGGACAGAGGGGAAGATAATGGCCCAGGGTGAACAAAGAGCTTTCCTGGGCAGTTAGGAAACTTGAGACCATAGTTCCA